TTTTTTTTAAAGGTTTTTTGTGTTTTTCTGCCTTTTTTCTGCCTTTTTCCCGGTCGAGAGTTATGGAGGCTGCGTTGGCAATTCTAAATGAAAGTTTTTACATCATTTTGGGTGCAAATTCAGGAGGCTCATCTAGGTACACAGCATGGAGACCCATTCGCAGAAAGAGCAAGCTCAAATCCATCAGAAGAGCGAAATCTCGGAAGATGATTAGATGGATTACAGGCAGCATGCGGTAAGGAACATATTGTTATTGATTCAGTCGCATCACATGAGGTCCCCAGGAATAAATATAACCCCTAAGAACAAAGGGACTATTAAAACCAAAACCCAACAACGTAATTAAAAAGAATAATATGAATAAAATAAGTATGATGTGCGTTTTAAAGAATACAACTTTGTAATAAATATTAAATATACGTGGAGTGGCTACACATATACGTACAGTTTATACAGCATGCAGGATTTATGTTGACAGCGATGGTGTGTGATATGAAAGACGCATTTTAAACTGTAAAATATAATCCATAATGGGAGAATGAGGATGAGTGACGGCCTGTGGGAAGAGACTGTTCCTGTGTCTGGTGGTTTTGGCGTACAGTGTCCTTCAGTGCCTACCAGAGGAACAGGTTTGTCCAGGTATGTGATGGATCTGCAGTGATGTTTCCTGACTCTGGACGTGTATACGTTCTGAATGGAGGGCAGATTGGCGCCAATGATCTGCAGCCCCGACTGTCCGTTGCAGTCCTGTTTTGGTGGCCAGTCCAAACCAGACAGGGATGGATGAACAGAGAGCAGGTTGAGTTATTGCAGGGTAGAACTGGATCAGCAGCTCCTGAGCTGGCACAGGAAGTTCATCCTCTGCTGGGCTTTCTGATGGACTTCATGTTGGAGGCCTGCTTTAGGTCCTGGGAGACAGCGGATCCCAGAAACCTGAAGTTTTCCAGACGCAGTGTTGAAAAGTATGGTGTTGTTCTGACTGCACCAGAGGGCCAACCTGCTGTCTGCCGGATGCAGATACGCTACATGCACACATTATTCAAAAAGTATTATAGCAGTAGGGCCCAAAATAAATAAGCAAAACAAGATTTACAGATGTAAATGATGATTTGTAAGCAGTTAAATCAGTTTATTTGCTTTAGAAGTACTGTCCAAATGCAATAAATGTCAGACAACACTGCAAATATAAATGACTACAAATCCAGCTTATTATTTCTAACTTTTGATATTTTTTAAAGTGCCTTGTGCGTATTAACAATAGTTTAAAATGATATTCTCTGCAGTTATTTGTGAGGTGACTCAAGAGGAAAGGCCTGATAAACAGGAGGAGAAACTAATGTAGGTGCTTCCACACAGGACACGGGGGCTGAATGGTTTGATGATTTTGAAAACGGTATGAATTATAAATCGGGCTATGGCCTCGGCAGTCACCACATCTCACTTACTGGAGATTTTAGAGAGATAAACACCATCAAAACAAATGCTTTGCTTTTTTTTTTGGAGGACACGTAACCAACCCTGCAGTGAGAGTCAGGGTTCGGGTACAAAGCTTCCCAGAAGCTAATGACAAGTGGCTGTGTAATCAGCACTTAAGCATCAGGGCCTTCCTCTTCAGTTAAAATATTTCCCCCGGAGGAACTCCAGCCTCCTGTTTTCTGGGTGAGGAGACGGCCGCCCGGGGGAGAGACTTTTTTTTGTGATGTTTTTTAATCCTACAGCTGGGTAATGGGACAGTAACAGCTTGATTCAGCCTCTCTAAAGACCACTCTGTCAGCCATAAGACATGTTTCAGATCATCTCTTCACAAGCGACACCACCTGGGGCCGATTAGACGAGGAGAGGAAGTGCGTCTGCCAGTTTGATTTTACTGTTCTTAGTCGTTTTCCCCTCTGGCTAGGTGGCAGCTTTTCTTCTTTTGTTTATAGGAATTGGGCTCCATCAGTGCTCAATAGTTTGTGCTTCCAGTTAGAGGAAGAAAATATATTGGGCGTTTAAGTAGTGGTCATATACACCGATCAGCCGTAACGCAACAAACTGTGATTCTCTGTGTGTTCTGACTCCTTTCTATCAGAACCAGCGTTCACTGTTTCAGCAGTTTGAGCTACAGTAGCTCGTCTGTCCAGCCTTCACTCCCCACGTGCATCAATGAGCCAATGACCCTGTCTCCAGTTTACTGCTTTTCCTTTCTTGGACCACTTCTGATAGATACTGACCTCTGCTGACCGGAACACCTGACAAGAGCTGCAGTTTGACGATGCTCTGACCCAGTCGTCTAACCATCACAGTTTGGCCCTCAAAGTCCCTCAAATCCTCGACTTTGAGGAGAAAATGTTCACTTGCTGCCTGATATATCCAACCCACTGTGACAGGAGCCCTGATAACCAGATAAATGGTCTAAATCACTTCACCTATCAGTGATCATAATGTTAAAGCTGATCGAAGCCTTTGACCCTGACAAATGGAGCAAATGAGTTTCACTGTTTTGAACATTAATAACTAAATCTAAAACTAAATCTGTGAGGAGCAGATGTTTCCTGTGCCTTCCTGTGTTATATTTATTAGCTGAAATGTCCCGCTGAAGTCAACTGCCTGTAAGATGTGCATTACATGCACACTGCGTTCTAGTCAATAGACGTCCTGCAGCTGAATGTCAGCAGTGAAGCGACCCAGCTTCGCTTTAGCGACCGGCGTTGGTGTGACATTGAATTTCATACGACGATAAAGATTTTGTCCTCTGTGATGAACGAATCATAAAGTTTTTCTCGCTCGGTCTTGCGCTGTTTTGAGACGCGTCCCGGGCTGACAGGTGAACTGACAGTTTAAATGATAGCGTACCTCTCTGACTTTTCCTCTTCTGCTTCATGTGTCATGTGCGCGGCCTTGAATAAAAAATGAGGGCGAGTTGAATCCTGCTGAAATGTCACTTCACATTTCTTGCTTTAGGCGTCTGTGCGTCATCACAAGGACACATGGATTGAAAACCTCTGGAGGATAGTTTCCTTCACATGTGAACAGGGAGGGGACAACACCTTCAGCCAGCAGGCGAATGGTAGTGACGCTGTAGCTCTTGGTGTAGTCTGTCTTCTAAATAATGCAGCTCAAATCGCGACAGCTTCGGCTTCTTTCTTCTTTTTTGTTTGTGGGCTTTCGCAGTTGAAGAGCAGAACTTTGTTTAAGCAGCAAAACAGCTGAATACTCATTTAAATCCAGCCGGCTACTTTTATTCCCGGGAAAAGTCCAGCGTTAAGTTTAATGTTAATGCGAACCAAACATTTCCTACCGCTTCACTTTAAAAGCATTTAACTGGTGAGACACACGTGGACTTTTATTATGAAGTGGGCTAGTCACAGGTAATGCAGTGTGTTGTTCGGATCATTTGAGCTGTTATAATAATATAATAATAATAATAATAATATGATGTTATTGAACTACCTGCAGTAAAATGCCAAAGTAAAAAGTATATATATGTTTTTTAGCATCGTACATTTTATCCATGCTTTAGTGGAAATCAACAGACTGACAGGCTTCTTGAAGAAAACAGACTGAATACATTGTTTTATAATTATGGTATTATAATGCGCCAGAGGTGCATGACCCTTGACCCCTCGAGCTGGCTGCTTTTTCTCATTAAATATCCTTGTGGAAAGCCCTCGAAGACTCAGACTACACCTCTAAAACGTACCTGACCCTTGCTGTATAGTAAACAGAGAGAAAGTAACGCTGTCTGTCTGTCTGTCTCTCTCCAGTGTGGGTGTGGCTGTGGGGTTTTGTGTCCATCACCATCATCAGCCTGCTGTCTCTACTGGGCGTGGTGCTCGTACCCATCCTCAACCAGTCCTGCTTCAAGTTCCTGCTCACTTTCCTGGTGGCGCTGGCAGTCGGCACGCTCAGTGGCGACGCTCTCCTTCACCTGCTGCCTCACGTGAGTACGCCACATCAAATATGTGGATCGTCACAACTGGGTAGTGTGGGCCAGACTTTGAATCTTTCACTAACTTATATATATATATATATATATATAATCGCATAAAAGCGTGTAGCTGCTGTGTCACTCTGACTGACCGGAGCTGGGAGAGCAAACCATAAAGGACCAGTGTGTAGGATTTAGTGGCCTCTGGCAGTGTAGTGTTTGCTTTGTCCCTACTGGGCTGCTGTATAAACACGGCGGTTCAACACGGCACAGCGTAATGTTCAGTGATCATCAAACATCCTCCACTCAGTCTGCTGTAAGAGAGGCTTCAGGGATTTCATCTGTGTGACTTCTAGGAAATAAAATGTATGTACTGATGAATGTGCGACCCTCCTTCTCCCTCGCCGTCCTCTGTTCCTCTCTCTTCAGTCTCAAGGGCAGCACGACCACGGCGAGCACGGGACGGGCCACGGGGCGAGCCAGGACACCGATCTGGTTACAGCCTTTGATGGAGTGTGGAAGGGTCTAACGGCGCTGGCCGGCATCTACCTCCTCTTCATCATCGAACACTGTATCGGCATGTTTAAGCACTACAAAGACCACAGGGTGAGATAAACAACACGAGCTCCTGTTTGCTATATTCCTCGAGTATGTGAGGAGTTTCTGTGCATATAGCATAAAATAATGTCTCCGCTCACAGGGCATGAAGAAGGTGAGCGAGGAAGGCAAGATCGGTAGGAAGTTGTCAGATCACAAGTTGAATCGTCGCTCAGATGCAGAGTGGCTGCACCTGAAGCCGCTCAGCGAAGGTAAGAAGTGTTCAGTCACGCAGCTTTTACAGTTCTTTCTTTCTGTTTCTGTAAAAGAAAAACCTCCTCCTCTCTCTTCCAGACCCCGACAGCACAGCCATCTCCTGCGACAACGGCCACAACGACACGCAGCTCACGGAGCTCCAGACGCCCGACTCGCCCACGAACAAGACGCCACTGGACCCCACAAACCCCCAACAAGACCCGCCGTCACCCACCAAAGAGAACGGACGCAAGGCCAAGCGGCACGGCCACGGACACTCGCACGGCCACGGTCACTCTCACGGTGGGAACTGCCACTCGGACCAGGAGATGAAGGACGCTGGTATAGCCAGCATCGCCTGGATGGTCATCATGGGCGACGGCATGCATAACTTCAGCGACGGCATGGCTATAGGTGAGAGGTTTAGTGTTTGATGTGTCCACCTCAGAGCTGCCAGTCACATTAAGTATAATAGGCTCATAGATAAGTGGCCAGAATGTACGAAGCAGCCGGTATTAAGTCCGTCAAAGTGACAATGTGCGACACAGATTCATTATTCAAGTGATAAATCACCGGCCTTCACTTCGATTCAGTCATAACTTCCCCCGCTTTCATTAAAAACACTTGTTATTGCACAGTTTAAGTGGTAATTATGATGCTGACACAAAAATGTGCTGAGGTTACAGTTAATTAATGGTTACTATGGTTACCTGTAAGCTCGACTCGCTGCTACCACACAATACTGGCTCTTTACAAAAGAGAAAAAGGGACCACGAAGGGTCGACTATCTGTGTTTTTGATTGAGAGGATAGGGAGGAGGAGATAGAGAGTGGAATCGATCTCCTCAAAGTTTCAGCACAAAAAGCGAGCGAGCAGTATTTCCCCAAAACTTCCTCCTTAACATTTCCTGAACTTTGTGTCTACAGGCGCAGCGTTCAGCGCAAACCTGACGGGAGGCATCAGCACATCGGTGGCGGTTTTCTGCCATGAATTACCTCATGAACTTGGTAAGTGGATTGCACAAAGCCAGTCATTTACTGGCTACACACAAGACACTGCGCACTTCATTTGTTTAAGTAGAACAAAGCTGTTTTGTGACGACCTCGTAGTCGGTTCGCATAATCAGCTCTTCTTTCTTACTTGAACCAGAAACTTAAATCGGAGTTAGTCTCCTGGCCCCTCTGTCTCTCTCAGAACTTGTTAAATACCCCAGTGGTGTCAATAATCATCGCTCTTCTCTTCATTCCAGAAAAATGTACTCCCCCCCCCCCCCCC